TCTTCCTAGGAGGTCTCCCATCCAAGTACTAACCAAGACCGACCCTGCTTAGCTTTCACGATCAGACGGGATCAGACATGTTCAGGGTAGCATGGCCATAGGCAGGAAGTTTAGTTTCTGATTTCTGTTTAAAAATTTAAAGTCAATACTTATTTAAAATTAATGCGTTTCACTAGAATTTATTTGTTTTCCATTGCTTTTTGCATTACACTATGTATAGGGTGTATTTTTTCTTTCAGGAGTACGTCCTTAAGTAATTCTTTCAAAGAGATTAAGCGGGCAATAAACTTTCTGAGTCCTTGGATATCTGAAAATGTCTTTACCACCTTTGAAAATTAGTATGGCTGGGTATATAAATCAAATTCAAAGATATTTTCCTCCTGTCCTTTGAAGATCCTGTTCTATTCTCTTCTTCCGTCTCGTGTTGTTAAGATGTCTGATGTCTTTCTTGATTCCTTTGTTGGTAATTGTTTTCTGAATTTGAAGGATTTTATTCTTGATGTTTTGAAGTTTTACTATGATTATCCTAGGTGTGGATTTATTTTCGTTTAAATTTCTCCCTTTTAACTTGTGGGCCTGTTCATTTTGAGTTTTATTTTACCTTAGTTTGGGGAAGGCATATCTATTTTTTAATTAAATATTGCTTTCCTCTATATTCTGTATTTCCTTGTTTTGGAACTTCTTTGGCAGGATAATGGAACTTCTGAATCTTATTCCTAATGTCATTTTAACTTTTATTTCATATTTTTCAGTGCTTTATCTCTTTGTGTACTGCATTCTGAGAGAATTTAATTTTCCAATTCACTGTTGTCCTCTTTATCTGTGTTTATTCTGCTATTCAATCCATTTATCACTCCTGTCCTACAATTATATTTTTATTTCCAAAATCTCTAAAGCTCTTTTTCATGACTGCTCTTATTCTGAAACTGCCTGTTCTTATTTCATGAATGTCATAGTGTCTCTTATCACTGTTTCTTCTAATTACACTCAACTTCTGTTTGCTCTGATTCCATTGTGAACTCTGCTTCTCCGAGTGTACATTCCTCCATTCGTTGAGTCTGTGTTCTATTCTGTAATCTTGGCTTTCCTCAAATGTTTGGCATTTGAGGAAATGTCCGGAGGGAAGATGGTGCAGCTTCCACCTCTTGAAATCCATACACATTGTAGTAAGAGTTAGGGAAGAGTTGGAGGGCCGTAGCATGGTTGCTCCCTGTTCCTTCTAGGCATCGCTAACCCCTGGGGCACTGCTTTCTCTCTCCTACCCAAGCTTCTACATTCACTGCTCCCGCCTAGAACATATTCTAGAGTATGTGTAGAATGGGGTTTGGTAGATGGGCAGTGGTGCACAGAGTTTATCTGCTTGACTCTTCTCACTTTGATTCTCTAAATAACGACCCTGTTGGTTGTCTTCTTGCCCTTTCCTGTTTGGGCTTAACACTAGTTCTACCTTCTGCAGCAGAATCTTTCCATTCACATCAAAAAAGGGATGCAGGTTCCTGCTTCAGTCTGATCTTTGTGTTTCTTAGGGAGTTCTCAGTAATTCGTCATCTTGAGTTTTCTTTTTGTTTCACGCTCAGCTGAGCTTGAAAATACCATGTTTATTTGTTCATCTTTTTATTTTTATTATTATTTTTAGGGATTTAGTATGGGAGGAGAACACTGCAACATGTTATATCTGATATTTTGAAACTGAAAGTTCTGGGGTTTTTTCCAATTCGTGCCCTGGTTTTGCTAAGATTGATTGAAATGGTAATACTGCAAGTGAGTAGCATATAATTACTGATGAAGAAGAAAGCTGGTGACCTTTTGGGTAGTTTTTACTTCCATACACTGCTTCTATTGTATATCATCAGCAATTTGTTGGATTGGGTTAAGTCGAACTGGAAAGGCGTGTGTGAGTAGGATGGGATGAGATGTCGCTTATAATAGAGTAGTATCAGTATACACCGCACCTGCCTACTTTATTCAATTATTGTTTTACCCAAAATGTGTGTATTTACCTATACCTATTACAAATTCAAATATCAATATATAATAGTAAATGAAATTAACTAAGATATTATCAAGTATTAATATGTTTTTTTTTAATTGTTACAATAGGGAAATAAAGGATTACTTTTCAGTCTCTATTGGATTAGGCTTAGACTGGGATCAGGGACTGAGAATGACATAAAAGGTATATAGTTCAGAAGGAAACAAAAATAAATTTAGAAAAACAATTTAATTTATGTACAAAAATGTATATTTGCCAATATTCTGCCTTTTTTCTTAAAATATTGGTTTCCTTTCCTGACCTTTCTCCAAGTTTTATACCAGGTCTTTTGTTTATTATTTATTTTGATCAGTCATGAAGCTTTTTTAAAAAAAATTGAGATATTTTACATACCATAATAGTTGCCCTTTAAAAAAATACAAATCAGTGGTTTTAATGTATTTAGAAAGGTGTGCAATCATTTCTCCTGTTTAATTCCAGAACATTTTCATCACTCCAAAGAAACCACATACCCATTAACAGTTACTTCTCGTTTGCCTTTCTCTTTATCCTCTGGCAACCACAAAGTACCTCTTGTCTCTAGATTTGTCTATTCTGGACATTTCATATGAATGGAATCAAACAATATGTGTTGTGTGTCTGGCTTCTTTCACTTTCATTGTTTATTTGTGTTCTGTCATAAGTCAGTATTTCATTCCTTTTTTTATGGCCGAATAATATTCTATTTTATGGACATACCACATTTTGTTAATCATCAGTTGATGGCCTTTGGGTTGTTTCCACTTTTTGGCTATTATGAATAATGCTGCTGTGAACATTCAAGTATAAATCTTTGCTTGGATATATATTTTCACTTCTTTGACTATATTCCTAGGAATGGAATTGCTGGGTCACATGGTGACTCAATGTTTAACCTTTTGAGGAAATGCCAAACTTTTTTTTTTTCAAAGCACATCATTTTGCATTTTCATCAATAGTCTATGAGGATTCCAATTTATTCACATCCTCACCAACATTTGTTATTGTCTTTTTGATTATAGCCATCCTAGTGGGTGTGAAGTAGCATCTTATTGTTCTGATTAGTATTTCTCTGATAGCTAATGATATGGAGTATCTTTTCATGTGTTCTATTGCCATTTGTGTATCTTCTTTGGAGAAATGTCTGTTTAGATTCTTTGCTTATTTTTTCTTCTGTTGTCCTTTTATTGTTAAATTGTAAAAGTTCTTTTTTATATTCTGGATACTAGACCTTTATCACATAAGATAATTTGCAAATGTTTTCTCTCGTTCTGTGGGTTGTCTTCACCTTCTTGATAGGGTCCTTTGAAGCACGAAAGTTTTTCATTTTGATGGAGTCCTGTTTATTTTTTCTGTGGTTACTTGTGCTTTTGGGGTCATAGCTAAGAAACCATCACCTAACCAAAGTCAGCAAGATTTACACCTATGTTTCCTTTTAAGAGTTTTATAAGTTTACTCTTAAATTTAGATGTTTCATCCATTTTGAGTTAATTTTTGTATATGGTGTGGGAACTCTATTCTTTTGTTTTTGTATATCCAGTTTGTCCTAGCACCATTTGCTGAATGGGCCTTATTTTTAATAATCATTTTAGATCCTTGACCTCATTTTATTATCATATCAGCCTTACGAGATTTTTATTGTCATTGTCAACTCCATTTTAGGGACTTTGAAACTGAGTCTCAGAAGCTAAATATCTTGTCCAAGGTCTCACAGATCAAATCCCAGGTCTTGTTGACTCCGGGCCCTCATGTTTAACGAATAGATGATACTTCCTTTGCTTCTCTGAAATGTACACACTCTTAGTCAAGTAGGAATACTGCTTAGAAATTAAGTGGTTGTCTAGGACTAAAGAACATTGTGTAACTAACACTAGATGTTTCAAGAACAAAGAAAAAGAAAGCCCTATAGAGTTTTGAGCTTTTATACCAATTCCTATTTTTATCTAGTAATACATAATACCTCTAGGACCCTTAGCAAAGCATTTTAGGATTGAATTTTCATTACCAGGGACAAGAGCAATGCTGACGTTGAGACCTTTCTGTGATGATGACCATATTCTATATCTGCGCTAATCTTGCAATGATTCTTGAACCTGAGGAACTGAATTATTTTTATTGTGGTAAAACATACATAACTTACAATTTACCATTTTAACCATTTTTCAGTAAACAGTTCAGTGACATTAAGTACATTCATAGTATTGTGCAAACCGTCACCACCATCCACCTCCAGAACTTTGTCATCTTCCCCAATAGAAACTCTACCCGTTAGACACTAACTATTCATCCTCCCTCCCACCCCATCCGTGGAAACCACCATTCTACTTTCGGTGTCTATGAATTTGACTGCTCTAGGAACTTCATGTAAGGAAGAACTGGATTTTTAATTTTAGTGAATTTTAATTTAACTAGTCACATATGGCTAGTGGCTTCTTTACTGGACAATGCAGGCTTAGAGAGGTGTGCCTCTCACAAAGTTCCCATCTGCTTTTTAATACATTCTGAGTCTGAAGCATCTAGAGCATGCCCATTTTCTAGGCCTTTGTGGCATGCGAGAGCTCTGGCCAGGAGAGGGTAACAGAGAGGCGTAACTCAAATGAACAAGAATTTCTTTAGTGCATAGAGACCCTGATGATCTTGGCAAAGAAGGACATTGCTCTGAAATGCTAACGCTGGATCCTTTCCCTAGATGGTCTGCTCTAGGAAGTCTCTACTCTTCAGCCTCTAGATTCCCTACTCGTGATGTGGAACTGTGCAGGTTTTCTGGCTCTCTGGGATGGTGTGAGAGGTAGTGAAACAGCATTGTCTAGTGTTTTGTGCATACTAAAAGCTAACCCCTCAAGGAGTGGGCTGATATACTTAGCACTCTCCATATTTGGGAAAGTCGCATTGTCAGAATCATTAATCACATCTGAAGTGGAAGTGAAACTCCTCTAATTAACCGCTGTGAAAGTATCTCACCCTCATTCTTGTTTTGTGGTTTCTCCAGTTCTGGACTTCAGCGATCCCTTCAGCACTGAGGTGAAACCGAGAATCCTGCTCATGGGTCTGAGGAGAAGCGGCAAGTCATCTATTCAGAAAGTTGTCTTTCACAAAATGTCTCCCAACGAAACACTGTTCTTGGAGAGCACGAACAAAATCTGCCGGGAAGATGTTTCCAACAGCTCCTTTGTTAATTTTCAGATTTGGGACTTCCCAGGACAGATTGACTTTTTTGACCCTACATTTGACTATGAGATGATCTTCCGGGGAACAGGAGCACTGATTTTTGTCATAGACTCCCAGGTAAAGCTCAGTCTTGGGTTCCACGGGACTGTAGGCCCCTCTCCCCCACATATGCAGCCTCCCCCACCCTTCTGGGTTCAAACAATTTCCATTGTAATGGTTTCAGTTTGGTCTTTAGAACTGGGAATAGGCTTTTCTACCAAACAAGGAATTTCTCATTTGGGGCTCTCAGGGTTTGCAAAGGAGAAAAGGCTCCCTCCATGTAGCCCTGACCAACAAGCAGTGATGATAGGGAGCTGTGTATCTGTGTGCATCTCAGCGAATCACAGACCTAGGAAACCTCACAAATAGAGGAGACCACCATACAGGCCAAGGACAGCGAATATGTGTCCCCCCCTCTGATACTCTTGGTAGACATCTATAAAAGATCACAGGTTCTCTGCAACAAAAGTATGTATATAAGTTTACATTTAAAAATATTTACTATTTTCTATGAAGCTGAAGTTCTGGGTGAAAATTTTTTTTTCCAAATTAAATTATTATAATTATTATTAGTACACAATTGATTAAGACAGCATACCTACTGTGTATTTTATAGGTAAATATTAAATATAAAAAATGAAATTTGAGATAAATGTTTCTTTTAAGAAGATGATATTTTTCCACTTAGTTCATGTATCGATGCTTGAATAAGACAGGATTTGGCATCAATTCTATTTTTGTTTTTGTTGATATAGCTATAAGCATTGAGTAACTTGTTCACATCAGAGAATATGTAGATATAGGCTAAATTTGGATAGAACATTCACTCAATTACTTAAACTCCTTACAAGTTACATTCCCTAAATTGCCCAGTTTTCTATCACGAAAAACTATTTTTAGTAGTTTATCAACAGACATGCTGAAAGCAAAGAATTAGAATCCCCTTGACTGATGAAGAGCCTTATTACCCAGGCATTAGAGTAATTCACTTTATCAGTTATTCAAACCAGCCTTCTGAATGGTCTCTTTGGCATCCTGGGCCTTTCTCCTGTTAAGTGAGAACAGGGCCACTTAAAGGGAGAGAAGGAAAGGAAGCAGCAGGACCACAGGTGCATCTCAGGTAGATCATTATAAGAAGATACAGGCAGCAGGATTGGGACATTGATGCTCTTCAAACTCTCCATATCCAGGTGTCTTAGAAAATGTCCCTGATGCATGGCTCAGCCTGAAGGCCCTCCCAAGGGCTCTCTTTTGCACCTGTAGGAGAATAAAAGGCAGTAAGTCCTACAGGAATATGCTAAACCAACTCTAAATTCAGGCTGAGACATTTTCCTGAAACTGTGGACCTACAATCAAACAGGTGGGCCGAATACTCCCAGCCCCAAGAGGCACCAGTGTAGTTGAAGGGAAGGGATGTGAAGACTTAGTAATAATGGTTCTGAGCCCATGCTTGGAAACTGTTCTCTGAGAAGACCACTGAAGCTTGAGAGCATCATATATTCACTCATGGAACTAGGTGGCTGTGTAATATAATAATGAAATTTTCAACTAAGCCTTTTTGTTCCAAGTGACTGCACTGTGTACTCCTAGCGTAGCTGTGGGAGCTTAGCCAAATGGTTAGAAAGAGTTCTTTCTTTTTTGGTGGGGTGTGGAGCGGGGAGACTTTAAATTCCAATGCCTGATCTAGAAACAGCAGTGCCTTTCCACCCTTGGACCCATCCAGCAATGCATGCTTGTAGACGCTTGCATCAGGTCCAGAGCCTGCTGTCAGTCACTACTTTCCTGGCTGTCCCACTTGTACTGACCTGTTTTCTGGCCCATCTGTGGCCTTGGCAGGATCCCCTGCCTTCCTGCCTCAGGCTGCCAGCACCATAAATCAGGGAGCTTGTTGCTGGAGAGGGGCAGCCAGGGTGTGTACACGTTGCTGCATGGGAGGTCAGGCTCCAGGGATGTCATGCTCATCTATCTCTTCTAAGCTCCATTTTCTCCCTAAGTCACATGGCCACTGTTCTTCAATGGTTGTTGAACTAAGTAGGGGTAGCATTGCATTACATGTGAGTAAGTAGATTCCAACCAGATGACTGATCATTTTAAGACAGTGGCTCAGTAATTACTTACCTTAATACCATGTTATGGTTACATAGTCATTTGCATTTATGGAATTCAGATTTCCAAAGCAAATCTATCTCAGTTGTTTGTACAATGGCTGTAATATAGCTACTTGCCTATTTTCAAATTGTAACCATATTTTGGTTTTAATTCTACCTGAACATAAAAGAAGGCCTTCAATTTGGGTTGGTAAATGTGTTTTTTAAATTTAATTTAATTTTACTTTTAATTGAAATGATTTAAATTTTTTCCCCGTCTACCTGTTTTTTAGCTGTAGGGCAAAGAAAGGTATAAGAATCCCTGCACAATGCATATTTATAGAAATATAAAAAATATGAAGCAAAAATATAAAAACATGAGATTAAATAAGCAGTTTTAGAGTTTGTCTACTATGCTTTTCTATTGGATGCAGACTGTAAAATCATATTTGTAGGACTCTTTACATGATGTGATTACAAGCGCTGAAAAGAAGAGCACACATTAGGGAAGTATCTTGGCAACACTTGAACATCATCCGTTTTATTTCTAAGCAGTGCTCTGTTGGTCTGACACCTCATATTTTTATTTTTTGCTTGTGAATTCCTCACTGTCATAGGATTGCCAGGTAAATCTATCACCAAAAAGAAAATATGTCCTCACAGAATGTAAAATAGAATGAAAGCATCAAGAGTGATTTCCCTCAACCTAAATGTGTGACACCATTAGCCCCGCTGCCAGCAGAACCCACAGAATGTACTACATCTCCAGGGCCACCCTCGGCCCCCCTGAAGCCATTCCACATGTGCCTTGGGACACACATGTCTATAATTCCTAGATCTAATTTTGGATTGAAACTAGGCAGTACATTTTTTCTTTACTTTTATTAGTCCCAGAAGATGATAACAAACACCGTAGGAAAAATCATCGACAATCTCTCTGCTCTAATAAACTGAGTATTTTCTTCTTTTTAATGTAATGTTTAGTCCTTGTAGCTCTATACCGCTTCATCAGTTAATTGGTCATCAGACCATTTTATATGCGTGACAGGGAGATTAGTGCAGCGATTTCTCATAATTTGAGATTGCGATGTACCCTTGACATTGGCTAGCTGCTCATAGGCATGTCCCCTTATCTGCCCTCTTCAGTTAAAGACATAAGCAACAATACTTTTTTTGAGGCGTATTATACATACAATAAAATGCCCTCATTTTAAGTGCACAGTTTATTGAATTTGAAAAATGTATACACCTTGTAACTATCTCACAATCAAGATGTAGAATATTTCGACCACCCCAAGAGCTTCCTTTGTGTCCTTTCTTGAGTAGTCCCCCAAACTTCAGCCCCAGGTAACTGCTGATGTACTTTCTGTCACTATAGATTAATTTGCTTTTTTTAGAATTGCATATATGTGGAAACATACAGTAATAACTTTAGTTTTTATTTGAGATTTTTTAAGGTATTTAAAAAGGGCTGCAAATCATTCATCTAGAATTTTTCCAGAATGCTCAATCTACTATCCCAGTGTCCATTATTTGTCTTTAATTTTAAACAACTCTTTAGAGTTTGAGAGTGAGAGATTACATTTGCTATTTTTCTCTCTATCATTTCTTATTAGTATCTTTAACATTTTTATTTATCTAGAGACTAGGAACACATGTTTATTAATTTAATATGAGGAATAGAAGAACATCAAAAAAAAAAAATCCCCTGTTTTATTGGCTTTCTGTATTTACCCAGGTTTGAAGTCAGAATGGGGAGTGGAAAGTCCTTTAAATTCTGTCCTATAGCTCCCTTTCCTTTTTTTTTTGCTATAAAAACAAGACCTGTTCATACCCTTCAAATTGGCAATAATGAAGAGACCTGACCACACTAAGTATTGGTGAGGGTCTGTAGCATCATTGGTGCTCTTACATTCTATCTAGTCAAGTTCAAGGTGCTTATTTCTATGACTCAACAGGTCAGCCTTCAGCGTAAGCCCTAAAAAACTCACAGTCATAGATTCGTGTAAGAACTAAAACATAACTGGAAACATTCTGAATGTCTATCAACAGGCAAATATATAATAAATTACAGACCATCCATACAATGAAATTTTATAGAGCCATTAAAAGGAGTTATGCACTTCAGTGTAGCGAAATTCTGACATAATGTTGAGTGAAAAAGGCAAACTGTAATTTGTATATAACTTGATATTGCTATAAATTTTGAGACAATGTAAATGAATTCTGTATGTTGTTCTTCAAGAATGCATATGTACGTAGTAATGTATAAAGAGATGACTGAGAATAAACCCTAAACTTGGGATAGTGGTACCTCTGCAGGGTGGGTGGGTAGAGTAATGGGCGGTCTGAGAGGATGGGGAGAAACAGACAGGGCTTCATTCAGTATCGAATGTTTGATTTTTTAAGCAGAGAGATACCTACACAGGTATTTGTTATATTATTATGTAGATATTATCTGTGAGATGGAGAAAAAAAATACTTTTGTGTTATTTGGGGCAATGACTATAGACCAGGGGGTCAGCAATCTTTTTCTGTAAAGGGCCAGCTGGTAAATATTTTAGGCTTTGCAGGCTATATTGTCTCTGAGGAGTTTGTACAGAAGAGAACCACTCAATTCTGCCATTGTAGTATGAAAATAACCGTAGGTAGTATGTAAACAAATGAGTGTGGCTGTGTTCCAATAAAACTTTACTTACAAACAAGGGGCATGGGCCCAGTTTGGCTGCTCCAGACGAGTGGTCCTTAAATTTTTTTCCTCCTGGCTCCTTCTCCGTCCTCCTAGAGTTCCATCATATTTTCATTTCCAATTGTCACAGTTCACCATGAAACTCAAAACTCTGGGAGAAATTGCATCCTACAGAAGGTCCTAGGTGACCTTTGTGAATTTTCAGTTCACAAAATTGAAACTCTGATCTTGATGACTGTCACCAAGTTAATCATAACTGCCTACAGCTGTGTTTTTCTGACCTTTTTTTTTTTTTCATTTCTTTGTTAACAAAACGTAAGTTTTCGACCTTGAATTCTATGAAACCAGTTTTTGGGCTTTAGCAAAATATTTTTGGAGGTTGTACCCAGATGATTTCCAGATTAAGAATGTATGTGGGAAGGGGAAAAAAAAAAGGTTACTTGTGAGAGGAGGTGCTAGAAAGGTTAGTTAGCTTGATTGGGGGCAAGCATTTCACAACATGTATGTATATCAAAACATCACGTCATACACCTTAAACATATGCAATGTTTATTTGTCAAGCATACTTCAATCAAGCCGGAAAGAAAAGAGTGTATGTGGAAGGCAGCTTAGAAGGGTTAGGAAGCAAAGCAGGTCCCCTAACAGGAGTGTGCCTTTGTTCCTAGGATGATTACATGGAGGCCCTGGCCAGGCTGCACCTCACAGTCACCAGGGCCTACAAAGTGAACACCGACATCAACTTCGAGGTGTTTATTCATAAAGTGGATGGTCTGTCAGATGACCACAAAATTGAAACCCAAAGAGATATTCATCAGAGGGCAAATGATGACCTTGCTGATGCTGGATTAGAAAAAATTCACCTCAGGTGAGAACAGAAACCCTTCAGGGTTCACTGTAATGAATGGAAAAAAGCAGATCTGGGGGCCAAAGATACCACAAATGGTTTGGCATGGGCATTAATTTGCCCCATTGTTTACCCCATTCTGTACTGTAGACATTGGGATTGTATTTGAGAAAAGCAAGGTTTGCATGTGCTAATGCTAATCTTCGGGAAAAGTAGTGGGGTTAAAAAAACTTTTCTTGAACAAATGGTCAAAGCTAAGGTATTTCCCCCATTTGAAAAACTTGAGACACAAAACCCATGAATGCAATCCAGGTTAATCGATGCTGAAGTTTATAGTTCTTGATAAATATGATAGTATCTATAACTCTGAAGATAATTCAAATAGAAATGCAAAGGAGAAGCAGTTTTCTATAATTTTTTGTGGGGTGCTATGTGTATTATTCATTTTGCAAATTGGAAAATGAAAAAATTAAACACTTCAATATGAGTAATAGAACCATTACTAATCTAAGAGGCATGTGTACAGATGATCTGGTGTGCATTTTCTCGAAGAATGTAAGGAAGTTAGTATGGACACATATGATGCATTTTTAAGCTTTCCAGTCCAGCAAGGCAGTAGATGAGAATGGGCACATTCCTTTCTTGCTTTTGGGGAGTTGGAGAGGAATGACCTGTTAAGACCTGTTAATTTTTCATCAATATTGTTTTGAATTCTGAAGAGGGCTAGATTGTGTGTATAAGAAGTATAAGTACAGAAGGCAGGGTACTGGCATTATGACAGAGCCTAAGCAATCTATTCCTCTGTCAAGGGGAAAGTGTGATGAAATATTGTTTCCTCTTTCAGCTTTTATCTGACAAGCATATATGATCATTCAATATTTGAAGCTTTTAGCAAAGTGGTTCAGAAACTAATTCCGCAACTCCCCACCCTGGAGAATTTGCTGAACATCTTTATCTCAGTAAGTAAATGATATCATCCTGTTAGCATCATATGTAGAATTTAAGAATAACATTGCAAGAGTGAAAACAATCTTATTTCTGCTTCCTCTTATGGCATTTCAGGTCCCTGAAGTATTTACTTTTGGAGTTTGCTCCTACAGGTTGTTTTAAATTTAAAATTTTAAAATTTTAAATTTTAACTCCTTTAAAATTTAACTCCCAAAATGGATTCTTGTACTTCACTGTATAATTGGAGTGTTTATTCAAGTTGTAGACAATCATTCAGTGTTAATAGAGCCTTACCAGAGGTAGGGAGCATAAAAATTGGTTTTGATGATAAGAAATATACTGTTAACATTGAATGATGTGCTAGCTGAATGAGTCCTAAACACTGCCAGCTCTAGTCAGGTTCCACAGAGTAGAACTGAGGTGGACCTGTTGGTCGTACTCACGTTAATTTTCATTCCATGATTTCGAGTTTGCTTGTTCACATTTTTAAAATTTATTTTTTAATTTAAAATCAGTAAAGTTAGTGTTTGTACTTGTCCTTTTTGCTAACTGCAGATACACCTCTAAGTCAGGAAACACCATTCAATTTGTTTACCTACAGTAAATAATTTGTATTAATTAATTTCACTTTTCATTTCTTATGCAAGTCCATTATAAAGAAGTTTTTGACAATGACATTTAAATTTTAATAAAATGGAGCAATGTAAAGTTTTAGAACTTCATCTTTGCTCATTAGTATTTTACATTTAGGATGGCATATAAGTTTGCGCAATGATGATCTGGTCTGAAATCAACATCTTTTTGTTTCAGAATTCTGGAATTGAAAAGGCATTTCTTTTTGATGTGGTCAGTAAAATTTATATTGCAACCGATAGTACCCCAGTAGATATGCAAACCTATGAGCTCTGCTGTGATATGATCGATGTGGTTATTGACATCTCTTGTATTTATGGGTAAGTAAAACATTTTTAAAGGCTACAGTCGAGCCATACTTTTCTTTCATAACCTTTAGACATTTTGCATTTACTTATTTGATTTGTTTTGAATGACTGAGTTCTATAAATAAATATTACCAATTAGCATGTAATAATAGCAATTATTGGGTAAAAGCCTGGCATTATGCTAATAATATCATTGCATACATTATATCATTTAATTCGCTACTAATCCATGAAGCAGAAATTACTATCCCCACTTTAAAGATGGGAAAACTGAGGTTCACACTGGTTAAGTTTCTATCTTATGTTCATATGGTCAATAAGGGATGGAACTAGAATTTGGACTCAAGCCTAACTGATTCCTGGTTCCTCTACTGAAAAACCTGTCATCCTATCATAATACCTTATGCACTTGGGAGAGACTAATAGGATCCTTGAACTCTAAATAAATATCTCATATTAACAATAGTTCGTTATCTCCGTTACAGGAGATGGCTGTTTTGTTTTTTTAAAAAATATACTTTTGATTGTGTTCTGTTGTGGCAGCAGAGTTATAAGACTAAGCAAACAACATTACCTGTTTATTATTATGTCTTACATTCTTAGAAAACAGAACCTTCTGAGCACTTAAAATGATATAAAATAAGGAACGGAGGAAATTGATTGTTACCAGACATAGAAACAATTCCATATAATTACAAATTTGCTGAAGGGTTGTTATACAGTGTGATTGGGTGTGAACTATTTTGTCTAGTTAAGACATCAAGTTGTTGCTGGTCTATATTGGATCTTATATCCTTATCCAGTCATTGATGAGTTTAAGCTTTTGTTCATCTTCCTCTTTCCTTGCTGGCTGTGACCTGCTTTACACAGCCTCCTCTGTCAACTTCTGTGAGAGTCTCATCTCACCATTTCTCTCTTCCACAGGCTGAAAATCCTTTGCCCACTCAGTTCCAATTTTCTGTTATCTGTTATACACACATGCACACACAGTCCCATTATGGAAAAGGGAAAGTGATACTTCACAGGGCTATAGTGAGGATGAACTATCATTAGGTTTCACTTGGTAGATCCTGGATAAATGGTCTATTCATTATTTTTTTATTATTATTATTATTGTTAAACACTACCATCTGGCTTCAGAAATAGACCTTATTCTCCAAGATTATTACCCTACAGTAATCTATTGTTTTTAAACAGAAAGCGAATGACCTTGAAATAGTCAAGGAAGCTGAATATACCCTGATTACGGTCTGTATTGCTGTGGTAATCAAATACAATGAACAGCACAATTAATCTGGCAAATATTTAATGATATGCATAATCATTATTGTGCCATATGGTAATTAGACATAAGTGGTAAATTATGTTAATCAGAGTTACTTTTACCCAGCTAAAACAAACATGGGGAGGGAGGGGCTGGGTAGAGGAGGGAGCTGGGCCTTGGCGTCAGATTGTTTTCCTGTAGGAGAGTGCAGTGTTCCTGAGAACCCACTAGGTTCAGTGAGAACCAGTCTGAGTCACAATGAGGTGGGAACTTGGAGGCCCTGGGATTTCCTCAGACTGTTTGCTGGAGAGTCAAGCAGCCAGCCAGTTAACCAGCAGGGCGAGGGAGCCAGGGATGCGTGCAGCAGCCCAGGAAGCAGGCTTACTGCCAGTTCCAGCTGCTCCTTGGAGCCCGCAGGGTTTAGAAGTAGGTGACCTGGTGCCTCAGTCTTCTACTCAGGAATCTCAGCTGAGCTTCTGCTAAGACCAGTCATTTCTACACACATGCACCCTTTAAAATAAGTTCTATCTTCATGAGTTTTCATTGCTTTGTAGATGGCAACTTCAATAGTAGAACATAGTGGTTGCAGTTGTAAAACCTCACCGATTTCTACTTGAAAACTAACTTCCACAATTTCCATGTGTGTACCAGTTTAAAATACTCTCAAAACTAAAAACCTATGTTTCCTTTAAAATACAATTCAGGCATTTTCATTTAATCTGGTTTTTCACCCTACCGCCTTGTGATATTTACGAAATTAAAAGCATTAACTCCGAAATTAGTCAAATTAGTTTGAGGTCCAGGCTGTACTCCCATCATCAGCTTTGACCAAGTTCTCTTATTCTCCCCAACTTCAGTTCCTCACTACCTAGCTTAAAGGATTCTTGTGCCAGAAAATAGATAATGCATGCATGGTAAGAACTAAAAATGGTGCCCATCAAAAAGTACATTTTTAGTGAATGCTGGCTCTTAGTATGCAAAAGGAATAAAGTTTAGCATGGGCCAAATTATTATATTGTAGTCATAAGGCTTAACAGTTCTAATCAAGTTGGTTTCTGGTCAATTATTCATAAATTTGGGAAGCAAAAATAAATTAGAAAATGTATACACAGTTACAAATAAAGGAAAAAGGCACAAGGAAGTGCTCCTTTGCCTGTGAGGAAAAGATTCGTAACTCTGATTACATCAGTGTCTTCAGAGGTCTCTGTTTCAATCATCAAGGCAATAATAATTAGTAATAGCAGTTAACATTCATTTTGCATTTTACATGTTCTCAGCACTGTGCTCAGTGCTGTATGTGTATTATTTCCTTATATTAAGAAACTTTGAAGTAATTACTGTTAGCATACAGATGAGGAAATTGGGTCTCAAAGAAGTTACTCAACTTGTTCCAGTTCATATAGTAAGTAAGAGAGCTGGGATTGAAACCCAAGTTATCTGTGTCTGTAGGCCATACCTATTTTTGATCCTTAAAATATTATTTATTTATTTATTTTTATGGTGACATTGATTAATGAAATCCAATAAGTTTTAGCTGTACACTTTAACAGTAAAGTATATATATATTTACACTGTATGTTCACCTCTCATAGTTAGATTTCTTTCTGTCACCACATATTTGACCCCCTTTACCCGTTTTGCCTTTCCCCTTCTCCCTTCCACCTCCCCTCTACCCTCTGGTAACCACTAGTCGATTGTCCATGACCATGATACTCTGTTTGTCCTGTTCATTTGTTGCTTTTAGGTTTATATCCCACATATAAATGATATCATGTGATTTTCAACTTTTTCTGTCTGGTTTATTTCGCTTAGCAAGGTTATTTCGAGCTTTATCCATGTTGTCGCAAATGGCAGTATTCCATCTCTTCTTATGGCTGAATAATATTCCATTGTATATTTGTGCCACAGCTTCTTTAGCCAATCATCTATCGTAGGATACTTTGGTTGCTTCCATGTCTTGGCTACTGTGAATAGGTTGCTGTGAACATTGAACCGATGTTCAAGGCCATACCTTTTTAAAAATAGACCAGTATTTTATTTAACTTTTTATTTTGAAAAGATTTCCAACCTACAGAAAGTGTGCAAGGTTAGTACAATGAACTCGTGTATACCCTCCACTGGGATTCACCAATTTTTATCATTTTGCCATATTTGCTCTCTCTCTTTCTATTTCATATCATTTACTTGCTTTTGCCGAACAATTTGGGAGTAAGTTGCAGAGATCATGATCCTTTGATCCTAGTTACTTGAGCATCTATCTCTTAAGAACAAGGACATTCTTTTATAGGACCACAGTTTAATTATCAAATTAAGTATATTTAGCATGGCTATATTATTATCTAATATATAGTCCATATTCAGATTTTACCAGTGGTCCCACTTCTATCTTTTATTTTATTGTTTTTTACCTCCTGATCCAAGATCTAGGCCAGCATTCAGCTGCCATGTGTCTTTAGGCTTTTTAAATTTGGAACAGTTCTTCAGTCCTTGGTCTTTCATCAGGCCATGCTTTGACAGCTCCATTATTTGACCATGGGAAAACAGGAAGCCCCTGTGGGCCACAGAGGGGAGAAGAGCTAACTTCCATCCCTCACCTGTGTTTCTCAGGTGCCTGGAGAGTTGCCCAGCTGCCACGACAGCCACTCATTGTGTCAGTAAGAAAGTGATTGTCATACACTGTACATTCTTGTGATTGTGTGTTTCTGAGATCTTTAGCTAAAAGGAACTGTAAGTGTAAACTGCTTGTCATTATGATTATCATTCTCTGTGTTAAAGCTGATCTCTGGTTACAATTTGTAGTTCTTTCTCAATTGTCAAATATGTTTTGGTTTCTGTCCCCATTTAGTCTCAAAGAAGATGGAGCAGGAACCCCCTATGACAAGGAATCAACAGCCATTATAAAGCTGAATAATACCACAGTTCTTTATTTAAAAGAGGTGACAAAGTTCCTGGCTCTTGTTTGCTTTGTCAGAGAGGAAAGCTTTGAAAGAAAAGGTAATTGTGTGTGTGTGTGTGTGTGTGTGTGTGTGTGTGTGTGTGTGTGTGTGTGTGTGTGTGTGTATGATTTAAATAAAGCATTTTAATTCAGACTAATAATGTCTTTATTGCTTGTTGAATGTGGGTGGTAGCAGCTTCCAGACTTAAGTCACAGGCCCCCTTGGCTCCTGCCCACATCAGTCAGGCTTTGGGGATCCGTGAACCAACCTGCTCTCTAGTGAAAGCTGCCAGAGGTGGAAATGGAAGCAACCATCTGCCGGGGGCCTTAGCTTTTCTGGGAGTAAAGCTAGCTGAGGCATTGTTGCCAAGCTGTAAAGTCTCTTACCAGGGGGCAGGACCCCAGCCAACAGTGAGGAGGACAAAGGAGTCTCTTGGTCCACACCTCTAGAAGGTTTTAGGGACCACGTGATCACTTGTGCTCCCCGTGTGAAGGAGAAGACTCACATTAACATTAAAACTAGACAGCATTTAACTTCTAGTCATCCTTTGCATATTAATATTCATTAGTCTTCAAAAAGAGGGATGGCATCATGATTTCAAAAAGAGAAGACATGAATATACTTAATGTCACTAAATATATTTTTTAGGACCAAATTTAGTTTTGTTTTAAAACCAAAGCAATTAGCCTCATAAAGGTATTCATTTTCCCCATGCTACCTAAACAGGGAAATACCAGCTTACTGATGTGGCTAGGGAGTTTTGTTAGTTACAAGGGTATGATTTATGAATTTGTTGGGTAAAAAAATTCCCAACAAAGTGGCAAAGGTAACATTTACTGAAATAGCCTTTTATTTACTTATAAAGCAATACATGTTCATCATAAAAATAGTTTGAAAGTTTAGGAAAGTATAAAGAACAAAATAAAACCACTCAATTTTATTATCTAGAGCTAAACTTCATGTTAAATTTCTGGAATTTTCTTTCTCCCTGCTTTCTTTCTTCCCTTCCCCTGTTACATTATCCCTTCCTCCCTTCCTTTATCTCTTTTTTCCTTCTAACAAAAGTGGGGCCATATTGTCCGTACAGTTTTATATCCTGTTGTTTCATTTATTCCTATCGTGAACATTTTTCTAGTTCATTGAGCATGAAAACAATTTAGATTTTTTCTTTTTATTACAAACGTAATAAATTCATATAGAAGATTTAGAAATAAATAAAAAAATAATTATTAATAAACTTCTCACTCAGATACTCTTAACATTTTCTGTATCAATTTCCAGCCTTTTTCATCTATATCTATATATGAGATAATATGGAAAATATTACTTTATGAACTTCAATTATTATATCTTTCCAAATTCACTAAATCTTTTTTATCACATCATTTTTAAAAATTTATTTATTTATTTTAATGAGTTGCAAGTATACATTACATTGATTAGACATCTGTGTAGTTCACATCATTTTAATGATTGTGTTAGTTTCTTCTATTGTTAGAAATTTATATTGTTTCTGGATTTTGAGGTTATAAATAATCTATGATGACCCTTTTTGCACTAAATATTTGTATATTTCCTGAGGAAAACTTCAGCAAAGGGAATTACTTAGATCAAAGGGAAGGCATGGTTTGGTGGCTTCTAATGCCTGTTATCAAAATGTTCTTCAGAAAGATTTTTATGGGTTTATGGTAAGAGACTATGAGTTTGTCCTTTTTGCTGTATTCTTTTCAGGATTCGGTATTAGCATTGAAAATTTGATACTCGAAAACTGGTATATATCATTTAACTTTACACTTCTTTGCTTAGTGCAGTTGCATTTACTGACTATTACCAACTAAATTGCCTTTTGTGTCCTTGGCCCTCAAAACTTTTAATTAAGTGGTATTGGTATTTTACTTCTTATTTTCATCTTGCTGAAAGTAAAAATAGGTTATATAGTAGATTCATGGAATTTTGAAGATGGACAGGACCATACCTTGTTTTACTTTATCAGTCGCAGATGCTTTTACCCAGACCCAGGGAATATAAGTGACTTTCTCCCAAGGTCACACTGCCAGTATATGACAGGACTAAAGAGCCCTGAGCTTTTCCCTATATAGAGTCAGTTGTGTATTTGGTGTTTTAAACCATGACGTATATATATTTCCTTGGTTAAAGGTATTTTTGGAATTTATATTTGATGATTAATATTTCATGTTGATTTTGGGAACTAAGAAAAATAAAAGTAATGCAAATAGTACAACTATAGCCCCCAAACCATCTATAGCAGCAGGTCCTAAAATTATATTAAATGATAATTTATTAAACTGGAAAGCTTGTTTATTTTTAACTAATTTTAGACTTTAGCAAAAAGTTGCAAAAATAGTACATAGATTACATATACTCCTCATCCAGCTTCTCGGAATGTTAACATCTTACATAGTGTGGTACAGTTATCAAAAGTAGGCAATTGACGTTGGTATGACTGTCAATAAAACTACAGACCTTATTCAAATTTCACCAGTTTTTCTAAAAATACCCTCTTTCTATTCCAGGATCCTAAACTGATTTATTTGTTATCTCTCCTAGTCTCCTCCAATCTGTGAAAGTTATTTCTCTTTCATGACTTTGATAACTTTTGAAGAGTACTGATCAGTTCTTTGGTAGAATGTCCCTCAGATTGGGTTTGTCTGATATTTTCACCCAGTTGAAATGAGATTATGCACTTTGGCAAGAATACTACACAGAAATGATGTCATGTCATTTTCAGTGCATCATATCAAGTGGTTAATGATGTTGGTATGTCTTATTACTGGTGATGCTGACCTTGATTTAGTTAAGGTAGTGTTTGCCAGTTTTTTCTACTGGAAAGTCCCTGTCTTTCTCTTTGTAGTTAATATATGCTTTCAAACTATGAAAATTCTGTTTTTCCTCACACTTTTGTCCACTAATTTTAACTTTCATTTATGGTTGTGGAAGTAAATTTAAGCAGGAATTTATCATGTGGATCTTTGGTAAGTTATTGCTAAACCACCTAAGAGGAATCATCTCTGAGGATAGACAAATTTTGTAGAATTTATTAAACTAACTAGAACCTAGGTATTAGTCTTAATGTCATAACTAAGAAATGTAAATAAATAGGCAGACTAGGTTTAAGCCCATTGTGTTAAAATTGTGTGCTTTTTAGGGTGACCAACCATCTCCATTTGCCTGGGACACAGGGCGTTCGTGGGACAGGAGACCTTCAGTGCTGAAACTGGGAATGTCCCAGGCAAACCAGAGGAGTTGGTCACCCTAGCTTTAAGGTACTTGTCTTTAAAAAGAACTTGTATTTATAAATGCATTGAGCAGTTTGATTTATTTTGCTGCTTTAATCTCAAGGGTGGTTGGGTTCCGTTGGTGCCGATAATCAACACTTGGCGAATAGTTTTTCTTCATGTTGGTCTCTGAGTTTGCATTAATAATCTCTGTGACTGCTTTGGCAGAAAGGAAAGGACTGAAAACATATGTGGGCTTCTTAGCCTTGGCTGCACGTTATAAGCACCTTGGGAAAGGAGGCGGTTAAAAAATACGGACATCTGGGTCTGTCTCCAAATATTTAGAATAGAATTCCTGGGAGAGGGGTCTGGGGTTTGTTAATTTTTTAAAAGTTCCCTGGATGTTTTTAATGTGCAGCTATGGTGAGAACCACTGAACCAGAGAAGGATGTGGGACCATTACATAACTGTGTATGGTGGTGAAGATAGTGCTTATTCTGTTCATGTCTCTGTTCTTGTATTTTCGACTGCCTTTAATGAGAGGGCTGAAATAAATTGCAAACTCTTTTTGTGAATGCTTACTTCCTTTAAAAACCTCAGTTGTAATATGTGGTGACAGAAAGAAAAACAAACAAAACCTCAGTTGTGAATTTTTACCTTTCTACTTTTAAAATTCAAAATGCAGCAAAATTACTGTTTTAAAATTTTTTTACATTTACAATATGCAAAGATGAATAAGTGAAAATTTGTCAACTACCAGGGGGGAGGGCAGAGGGGGGGAATATAAATAAGTAAATAAATAAAATGTTAAGAAAATAAATAAATAAATAAAATGTTAAAAAATAAATAAATAAAATTGTAAAAAAGAAGGAAACGATACAACTAAAAAAAAGATTTGTCAAGAACTATCAATAAGATGTCTCTGAAATTTCTTAGATTATTAGATTGCACCCTTCTCATTGAGCCAGTCAAGCTAAGCTTTCTTCCTAAGGCAGTTGGTTACACTTATTATAGGCAGAGAATTGTATGGTTTATTCTCAAATCCAATTCCCACTAAATGAGGTAATTTTTCTGCTTCTTGTTCCTTAGTACTTTCCCTCTTCTTGCCTCGTGGTCTTCAGGAAATGGTCTCCTAGTTTTACTGCACTTGAGGTCACTATCATTGCAGAAGCAGCAGAGGGCGCTACTCAGCTTTTTGCTCCTGGAAGCTGAGACAGTGTTTCCTTCAGTTCACTTGCAGTTAGTTGTATGACTACTTTGAAGACTTTCACTCCTTGGCTGACATCTCAGTTCTTTCTTTTTGGGTCTCTGGAAGCATCACCTGAGTGGATGGACATAATGGTTGGGCTAGTTATTTTAATAAGTGTAAAGATAGTAAATAGAACCAACTGCCTTATCCTACTTGGTATAAACACAATGTTGCTCTCAATACTTTTACAAATTAATGGTGATGATAACACTCAAGACTTTGGATTATCTTTTATTCTATTTTTGTACCACTAACTGATTTCTGAAAACACAAGAAAATTCTCCCCTACTATTTCTCCATTTAAAATTTACTGAATATTGAGAAACCAAGAGTGTAATTGGTTGTTGAATTCTTGAGCTTGAGATGACCTGAGGTGATTGTTATCACTAAAATCAGACACTTTACTTTTCTTAGGGCTTACGACAATGCTTTAAATATAATACATATCCAGTAAATATTGATTGATTGATTGATTGATTACTTGATTGATACTGTAGCTTTGAGATCTCAGCCACACTCCAAGTCAGAGTCTGCCTTCACTCAGAGCCAACTCAATAATACCTTTTGGAGAAAAGTAATAATAAATATTTCATTGAAAATATATCTTAATTGTAAGAAATCTAATTATGAAAGATAAAAAAATGTGCAGTTCACAGCATAGGGAATGCAATTAGCATTAATATAATGGGTAGATAGAGAGCCAGAGGAAAGAAAGTGCAATTAGAGATCGTTTCATAAACTATATAATTGTCTAACCAATGTACTGGATACTTGAAACTAATGATAAATTTTTTTTTTAAATGTGCAATTCAGATGGTTCTCCAAATCTTTTGGGTCATAGACACCTTTGAAAATATGGTATATACTCTGGAACCTTTCTTTAGGAAAAAATAAACATTCACAAAACTACCTGCAAAAGCTCAGCTGCAGGCCTCCCAGGGAAATCTGTGGACTTTATATTAAGGCCGCTCCTCTACTGCACCCTACTGGTGAGTCTTCACCATGACAGACATGAAAAGGAGATTATTTCTATGTAACATTCCTAAATATTTTTGTTTTCTTCTCCAGGGCTTATTGACTATAATTTTCATTGCTTCCGGAAGGCCATCCATGAAGTTTTTGAGGTGAGAATGAAAGTGGTAAAATCACGAAAGGTTCAGAATCGGCTGCAGAAGAAAAAAGGAAGCACTCCCAATGGGACCCCTAGACTGCTGCTGTAGGTGAGGTTTCAGGAACAGCTTTTGAAATCAGACCTTTCAGTGAGGCTGCTGCACTGCGTTGCACTAAAGGAAGAGGAAGAAGGAGATTGGAATACATAAATTTGTTGTAAAAAAAAATTCCTGCAACCCTCTTGATCTTCTCTTTTTTAAAATAAAGCAAGCACTTTGAAGCAAAAACTTGTATATTAACAATAAAGTGAAATCCACTGTAATTTCATTACACAAATGTAAACTTTTATGGTCTATAGTCCGAAAAATCCTGTGTGAGAACTGCCAGGAACTGTATATATTTTGCACTTTTTCATGTTTTTTTCTCATTGAACTAAACTTTGATAAAACAACTTTTCTAAGCTTTTTTCTGTAGTGTCAAAGACGTGCATACTGTAGTTCCTCTCTATATGGCAATCATAAATTAATCAAAAGTGATGCATTGGCAATGACTTTTTATAAATTTGGGAATTTTTGCTACCAATCATTGAGAAAAATCATTTTTCAAAGAAGATGGAATAGGGCAGCAAGCTCCAGGAGCAATAAGAACTGTCCCTTATTTATAACTAGTAATAACTAGGAGTTTTGTAGAATAATAATAGTGCCAAACTTATCTAACCATTTCAATAGCTATGGCAGTGCTTCCCTACTCAACAGTTTTTATAAAGCTTTACCTCAACACACATCTCTATAATCATTTTATACAGAGAGGCTGTTTCTTTTTGTTGCATTACTGTTCTTTAGAACTTTTGGGACCAGGTTTCCAAAATGGTGCCGATCACTTGAGAGAAATAAGAATGTCGCTGAATTGCAGAGTTTCTGGAGTCTTTTTGGTATTTGCCACCCAGGCTAAAGTAACATCAGAGGCCATGTGATTTCCCAAATGTAGGTGATTGGCAGCTGGAGAAAGAAGAATATATATACAATTCGGTATGTTGGGCCTCTGTGCAGTAAGCCAACTGCAACATTTGCTGCACAACATTATTGTGCAACATTTGAAACATTTATTTAGTACTAGTTTTCTTTTCTGTTTTTTAACTCCATGATCACAGGGGATGTCTCAGATCTCTACCACAGAGCTAAATCCTGTTGGGCACATTTGTCATCTGAATCTCTTCATCTGTGACAATGTGCCTTGTGTAATCTACTTGTTTCACCTTCTGATTAAACTAGAACTCAGCTGGCTAACAGCATGCTCTGCACAGCTGAAAAGCAATCCTGAAAACCCTTGAAGGTCAGCGGGAAGGGGATGGCCAGAGGAGGCATTAGAGTTAGTTAGCTTTGTATTTGTTTCTAGGAAATTTTTTTGTTACGTTTACTTTAGACTAATAGCAAGTTAAAAAACTCTTAAATCTACCCCATCCCAAACCATTCCAAGTAGATAAAAATTCTAGGTCCATCCAAAAGGTCAGTGCCCTAAGGCATGCTTGTGGGTATTAGAAAAAAATATATATATATAATTATTATTAGCTAATATATATTAACTATAACAATATATATATTAGCAGAGCCTCATTAGGGATGTCACAGCTGCTTCTAGCAAAATGTATCAAGTTCCTAAAGCAACTTGTCCTTGAAACTGTCCCACTTCTATCTGCGGCTTTTTTCCATCCTCTCTCCTTCTCAAGTAATGTTCCTTTGAGGCTGGTGACTGCAGTTTAAGATGGTAGCTGATTGGGGTTTAAAGTTTGAGCCCTCCTAAGGGTCTCTGCATTTTGGAAGTAAATTTCTAAAAATCATGAAGGAGCCCTAACTTCCTTCCTCGTGATTTCTGCTCAGAAACCTGGGTGAGTAGGAACCCAGGTTTCCAGAGAAGTCTTTTTCCTAATTTCAACACCTATACCCTGTTGGACCTTTGCCAACAGGCTTGGTACCGGTGGGTTATTCTTATAAATCTAATTCTTTAATATTTTTTACGCAATGTTTCTTTTTGAATAAGCAAATAAAGAATTACTTTTCTAATGTGACTTTATCCCCAGGGTAGAGACATTTGCTTATCTGGTAACTCACACATTACTTGGATATATACATATATTATTGTAACCAGGTGGAGCTTCCATTTTTGAGCTGGGTATATGATGGGTTTTTGTTAAAATGTGCCTTAAAAGCCTATTACTTCAAGAGCAAATGATTCTTTGGGGCAAAGGCAAAATCATTGCTATGGCATAAGACCCCAAGTTTATGATACGAAGTACACTCTTTGATTAATCACATACTAATAGAGATCACTGCCTCAAACCTGTAAGCATGGCAATGACCTCTTAGTTTTAGAGAGATGTAAGAGTTAGTCTAAGTTTTTGAAATCTGTGCCATTGGAATTACAAAATCTTTTAAATTCCTTTTGCATTTTCTTTTTGATATGGGATTTAGCTTACTGCAACATGCATGGCCACCTTTAGCTCTCAAATCCAATGCTATACATACAGAGCCCAAAATACATGGCTACATGACTGCTCTAGAACATTTTTGTTTATTTTCAAAGATTGAGAACTTGACCTACAGGTTCTAAGGAAATTAGAACATCTTTGTGGAAGTGAGACTATATGAATTATCCATCATCTTTGGTTATTTTCAGTGATATAGATTAGTATATATGACCAGGGTAGAGTGTTTTTGAAGGACTAGAAATCAAAAATTGATTGACATTCACAGTTAGTGTTATTTTGTAAACATAATATATTTTGGACCCTTAAATATAAAATGACTAAAAATACAGCAATATTGTTAAATACGGGTTGTATGTTAACTCTGAAACATACTCCAGAAGAGCAGCCGAACTGTCTTGATTATTAAAGTACAGTATGCATTCAACTTACATGGACTGGATATAATTTGTAATCAAGTGTAGTATTATATTTTACGCAGTATATCATTTATAATGATTGTTAAACCATTGCTTTCACAAATGTTAACCACCAATTTGAAAGACTGTGTCACACACTCAGGATTTGGTAAGGCTTGTGTTTTATTTTAAGCAAACTCATAACTAATCTTTCTGGGAGCAGAATGGTCTCTGGTGAAAAGGAAGTATGGTCTTTCATATTTATGAGGTTGTTTACCACACACATGTATCACAGCTTTATGGCCCTCTTGGGTCCTTTTAGTCAAATGTGTTTGTCCTGATTAACCAGCTTTCATTTTGTGGAAATGAGGATAAATTTCTCTATTTAAATTGGATTTGTGCTTTTATTTATTTATTTATTTATTTTAAACCCTCTTTTCTCTCCATATTTTTGATGGTGACATGCCTGTTTGGACTATAGAACTGTTATTTCAGTAAACTTCAGCTCTGGCCCTAATCCCTAGCCATCTGGAAATTCTCTTCCAATCAGTCCACCTTATTGTTCCTTACTTGCTTGGTAAGATTCCACATTATAATGACTTTTACAGGTCTTCTAGAATTCTCAGAGAGAGCTAGCATTAGATGTTATATCTTACATATGAAAGCCTGTTTCTGATGGAAAACCTGATGTGAAATAATTATATCCAAGATTTTTCATCAGTGGTGATGTTGAGTTTAGGAGAAAGAAAACATTTTTAACAGAATTATTTAATAATAATAGATATTGAGTACACACAGTATGCCATGCACTGCTTTTTTAAGTGCTTTTATATAACTTATCCTCATAAACCTAAGAAGTAAGTTTATCACTTCTGTTTTACATATGAGGCCACTGAGGCCAAAACAGATGAAATCACTTAGTAGCAATATGATCTTGCTCATCATATTACTAGTAGGACACAAGGCCAGGAGACTAACTCAAGAGTCCACTTTCTCAACTGCTACTCTAAGCAGCCTCGGCAAATATTCCCCCTTTCACAAATATGAAAAGAGGGACTTGCAGTTTAGGATTTACTGCTGCATGCGTTTATGAAGGCTGAGATGCTGAAATATTTAAAATACCTTGCCTTACGTGAAAATAGGAGCAGTCTTCTAAATGTACTTTACTCAGGAAAGAAAATCAACAAATATTATGCTCTTTTCTTCCTAATCCATGTAATAACTCTAATGCCAAAAATATTAAGAGAGTGTTTGAATGTCAGAAGGAAATTTAAATATCCTTTACAGTCATCTGGTTTTCTAAGAAGCAATAGTTATATCAAACCCCGAGAAAATCAAGAGAGAATAAGCCTGTATTCAACATTTTACCTTAAGTTTTAATATATATAACAATAACTTACAGAAAACAAAACACCGATCTGGATTAAAATTCAAAAAACCACATTTCGATCCTAATCCTTCACACCTATATCTAAAATTGCCACTAGCATACCTCTGCTGGACAGACATTTCTATAAGAGGAACCTCAAATCTAACATGTCCAAAATTGAACTGGCTTCTTTCTTGCTAAATCCCCTGTGGTGGTGTGGCTGTCCTTCCTTGCATCCCTGCCAGAGACTTGGGTCTCGTTCTTGCCTTTTCCTTTCTGCTCACCTCCAATTAGTCACCCACTTTCTCAACTCATTCTTACAAACATCTGTTGAATCTTTTTCCCCATCTCTTCTGCCACTATCCTGGTTTAGACCACCATCTCCTCTTATTTGGATCTCAGTAGCCTCTTAACCAGTGTCTCTCTGCCTTGTCTGTCCATCCACCCATTTCATTCTCCACGCAGGATGCAGAATGACCTTTTTAAACCACTACAGTCCTGAGCATATCACTCACTTGCTTTTAACACCTTTCCTAGCTCTCCATTATCAGTCAAATTCCTTAATAGAATTTGCAAGATCTTAACTCCCCGTCCTTACCTCCTTCTTCAGCGTTGGTTCATCCTTCTCTAACAGCTGGACCAGTGTGGACACACAGTGTATGGTAAATAAGAGGAACCTCGAGTTTTGGTTCCTTTCTTTGTCATTTATTTTCTGAGGGAAATGATAATTTTCTTTTTCAATAGCTATCGATAGGATACCTATTATAGACCAGACACTGCTTAGTAAAATAGCTAAAAGACAGATACTGGAGATGGAAGGATTTTAATATCTAAAAAATAATACAAAATAAACAACTTTAATTTTAGGTCCTTTATAGGTGTCAATTTTCACAATCACTGTTGTATAGGATGTCTGCACTGTCTAGCAAAGACCATGGGTAGCTATGTTTAGTTTACTGTAAGACTAAATATACTATGAGAAGTAGGTTGAGAGAGTAGAAATGTTTATCGAAATAGTGCCTTCCCTTATAAGTAAGAAGAGAGGTAAATTACCTTAAAAGTGTGAGCTTTAAATGTTAGTTATTTTAACGTTCATACTTTACTAACAATACATATATGAAAGCAATATCATTTCCAGAATTAAATTTAATAAAAACGTTTATTTTACTGTTACTCCTCTTTTTAATCTGTTTGTACCAGGGACCTACGAATACTGCCTAAGGTAGATGTTTATGTTAACATGAGGAGCAGTAGAAGATGTGAGAAGAATCAGATTAAAATGCCTTTTACAGCTATTTGGTTTTCTAAGAATATAGAATATAGGGCAAATGCAGAGCTGCTTTTGAGGTCATTTAGAATTTTGAAAGGTTGGATGATATTTTAAAATGTGCCAAACTTGGCATAGCAGGTTCTCAGGAATATCTATTTTTATCATAAATTCAACTTAAGTTCAGGAAGTGTGATCTTATTTCAGTTGTACCATCAATATCTTTGCAGTGTTTTATAATAGTCACGACAAACTGAAAATATAGGCTTTAAATGGTCCGTATCATAATTTCAAAGATACTTCAAAATGGATCATGTTATTCCAAGGAACAATTCCATAAAAACAAATAAGTAAATTTAAATTATATATAAAATTAATGAAGTTATTAAAAATAAGTAAATAAGAAACAAAATACAAAGATATTTAAGACTAGTCCAGTCTTATTTTGTAGAATATTACGTTTTAGTTTCAATAAATGATTTATCAGTTAAAGCTGAGAAGGGAGTCTGGTCCTTAGTATTTGATCTTGAAAAAATAAATTATCTTAAAAAACAGTGACCATATGAACTTATACTCAAAGCGATGTTTGCATGGTATGCTTATAACTGCCCTGGGATGGAACCTTAGGAGTTTACCTTTTATGAAATGCATTTTCAACTTTTTGTTGTTGTAAACCACACTAAATACAATTCACATTTCAAACTATCACACACTCCTCCTCGCAAATATTGCTTTGTGAAAAATTCATGAAGTACTGTCCTTTTATACAACGCATTCCATCTTTATTTCTTAAAAAAGATCTCACAATTCACTAAAGGGTCATTACCTGCAATTTGCAAAGCACTGCTAGAGTGCAGATTGGAGATACCTGAGGATATTTTCCTTTTTCTCTGTTAATTTTAAGGTCTTAATAAACATAGAGGGAAATTCTGAGGAAATTCTTGAGCTTTTATTTAATTTGATCAGGGCTTTCTGCTGTGTTTTACTTTTCATTGCCATCCCTTGGATGTTTTTATATACTGGGTTGTATGAATACAGGTCCAAGAAGCTCAGTCCTGAGAGGATCATCTATTATCATATACTCTATCCTTGACTATAATAAATAATTTACTTGGAGTTTAGTAACTCGAGTTCATATCTAGCTTCTATGGAATCCTTTGTTAATTCAGATGACTTTGGTCTTATCCAGTATCAAGAATCCATAAGTTTTGTCCTTTTGTGCTATTCTGATACTTCCAAGAACCAGCTGGACAAGGCCCTTCTCCATGAAAGAGAGCTGATCTAGCTGCTCAACTCGGGGGGAGGAATGAGGTGGAAGAGGGCATAACTAGTGTCCAGCTGCCTCAGGCCTTCACCATCCTGCTTCCTCAATCTATACTAATAAGCTGGTAGGACAAGGGGGATCTTTCTAGTCTCTCAAAACAGTCAAAAAACTAAGGCCCTTCCCTAAATAGCTAACTACAGTAGAGCAATTAAGATCTCAGTTTCTTCCATACTAACCCTCACCATCACTGTAGAGAATCCCATTCCTACAAGCTGTTTCTTTTTGTTTCTGGCTTTCATTTATCCTTTCTGCCTCTGGCCTTGCAGAGAGCTCACTCCTATAGTATCCCACCTTCGTCAACTAGATGGTCAATAAGCAGGACTTCTCCCAGACCTCTATAAGGTGGTCTTTCACTTCCTCTTCATGGGAAGCAGCCAGTAAAGGGGCTGACTGGAAGAGACCAGTCCTGTACGTCTCTCCATCTCAGTGGGAGAGGAAGGAAATCAGGTTTATAATATGCAAGAAATGGTCCCACCAATTCATGTCATACTGTTTCAGGCTAGTGTGTTTCCCAAAGTTACTTGATCCTAAGAATTATCTAGGGTGCTTAAAAATGCAAATTCCTACCTCTACCCCAGTCTTCTTGAATCAGACTCTCTGGGCAGAGATCTGGGAATGTGTATTTAAATAAGCATCTTAGGCAATTCTTATAATTTGGGAGACATTGTTTGGCCTGTGGTTATTAAAAGGGATGGGGGCGGGGGGAAGATGGGGAAGACTAGCATTGGAGTCACCTGGGGGAGCTTTTATCATTTCTCCATTTTGTAAATACACCACACACACACACACACACACGCACCTCAAGTGTTAGTGTCTCTTCAACTCAATTATGTAGCTTTTAAAGTTTACATTATTTAATTGATAATTTATGGATATAAATTAAATAAAGTTTATTTGAACTATTATATTGGATATTTAAATACTTATTCACATTTAATGTCACAAATTATGCTTTTTCCTCAAATCATATCATTCAAATTCTTCACAGGCATCTGCTATAGCAGGGTCTTTATTCACATTGGAACAACATTTTGAATCATCTAACAGTTCCTTTGCAGTTATTTAAGATAGAACATATTTTAAATTGAATAGGATGCTGTCAGTGGAGATTTTACTGAGTCTCAAGAATCTCCCTCCCCTTTGCATATTCACAGTCTTCACAAATGATTACTTCTTGTACTCCTCTTTTCAGTGACATTTTTAAAAGCCAATTGATAATCGTCTCTAATGCTTGTTCTCCAAGGTCATACACTCAGGAATAATAAATGTCTTCGCCTTTCCCCCTGATTTTGTTAGGTGACCCTTATAAGATAGAAAACTGCCATTGCTTAAAGTCCTTTCAAGACGTTGTCATCCCGGAAAGTATTTTATTCAAAAAAGACAAAGTAAAGACAAAAATATGAGGCAACTCTTTTTTTGAAGAATGATATATTTG